AGTTAAAAGGTCCACATTACGCTATTTTCTGATCCATGTTATAATGTTGTTTCCTCGTTCAAAACAACCTGGAGTTGTGTTTAGTTTCATTTACACATGTTTAACACACAATTTCTGCATATTTAGGCTGAGTTCTGAAAAACTGAAAAAAAAAAAAAAAAAAAAAAAAAACTCTATTCCACATTGTGATGTCATGCATGCAGTAACACAGGAAGTTTTTAAATTCTGTACACCTTCACTAGAATCATTTGGATCATTTCAGCCCTGGAGTTGCCAATCGCTACTTAATAAAAGATAAATGTTAGCTGTTAATTTTTTTTTTTGCTTAATATAAGACCTTTAAAGCTTTAAATGTTGCTATATTGTCTACAATCCTTACAGGATTCTGATCTCAAGTTGGTCTAAATGGATTGACTAAAATAGCCACTGTTTCCACCACTATGACCAAAGTGGTTCTCAGTATGAAATATTTGGAGCAGTGAAGTAAATGTAGACCATAAATGATGCTAAATGAAACTACTTTATATCACTGACACAAGAGCTGAACTACAAAACCTGTTCTTAAGCCACAGTATGAACATAAACAGCAGGATGAAACACAAGCTATTAATTAAACTTTCTACAGCTCAAATCTGATCATATTGCCAAAAAAATAAAAATAAAAAATTCTCAGAAGTGCAAATAAAATGTACAGACTATAAACACTGACCCCCCAGAACGGGTCAAAACAAAAAGATGAACAAATGTTTTTCAACTACACTTTAATCGATACTGTATAGTTGGCTACACTCGTGTGCTTGTGTGCATGTGTGACAGTGAAGAGCCATCATTAGGTATGGATGGTCAGTCAGGTCATTGGTCCCAGGTGGTGGAAATGGTGCACAAGTGAATTTAACTACCATTTTTGTTTTGTTTCACTGTGCCTATAATGTTCAATAAATTGTTGACAGTGCTGTAGAAATTATTGGTTAGTGGCCGTAAAATGCGTTTAAAATAAGCTCTTAAAGTTAAATGAGCTGGATTAATTTGCACAGAAGCATATGTGACACTGGTCAATGATCTAGTGATTTTATTTAATGGGCTCACACAGGGTACTTTAGAAGTTATGTTTTTAAGGGCCCATAAACTGCAGCAAAATCAGAACATAACAAACCCCCCCAAAATTAATAAATTACACAAAACTGATTTGTGTGTGCTTGAGGTCATCTTATAATGTTGTTACTTCCTTAACGACATACCTGTCTACATCTCCAAAGCTCAAAATTCTCTAACTTTTACCTTTAATTTAGCAGAAATGGTCAATTCCAGGGCTGAAAGTGTCCAAATGATTCTAGTGAAGGTATATGGCCTGGAGCACTTCCATTATCACATGACACCACAAGTTAGAACAGAGTGTTTTCAGTTTGTGAGAAGAACTCCCTAAGTATGCATAGTTTGGGTGTTAAATATGTGTGAATGAAACAAAATACAACTCCAAGTATGTTTTGATGACATATACATAGATCAGAGAATAGAATAACAGTCCCTTTAATGATAATAGCTCAGGTCTATTCATGTCAGAAGTTATCATAGTTATCGTAGTTTAAGATCTAGTGAAGAGTACAGTAGTTAGCAACACCACATCTCTGTTTTTCTCTATCTCTCTCCCTCTCTCTCTCTCTTTTGGAGTACCATTCTCTGTGGGCCCTTTTGCTGTTGTTTGCTCAACCCTCGCTGTGATAACCAACTATTTACACATGCTGCAAGTCAAAATAGGACGAGGCAAAACTGCAGAGGGGCGACGCACAGGCAGCTTTGTAATGACTATCTCTTCCCACGATCCCAATGGAAAAATAACACAGAAATTTCTCCCCAAGGATTCTACAGCCCTGATACAGCACATTCAAATTCCTCTCAAGTGACTGTTCAAGCATAGCACACACACTCCAGAGCTGCTCACTGACTGGTTAATACAGCTGTCTGTCAAATGTACTGCGTAATTAGAGGTGCTGTAGTCCCAGTGCAAACAGAAGAAGGCTTAGAAGGCAGACTTGTGCAAATGAAGGCCATGAATCAGGACTTTACCATAACAATCATTTAAAGGTCTTATATTGCACGATCTTTAAGCCATATTAGAATGTGGTTACCTCATCAAAAACATACCCAGACTTGGGTGTTGTTTCATTCACACATGTATAAGTAACCCTTTATTATTAGTCTGTCTACATTTCCAAATCTCAAAATGTAATAGTGATAATATTTTTAAGCTGTCGTTTGTTTAATGGTTCTGTAATGAACACTGTACCGCATGTTTTAATCTGTTGTAAGAGAGTAATAACTGTACTTTCTGTACTAGCCCTGTACTTAGTCATCTCTCTGCAAATGGAAAAGTAACATTGCTTTTATGGCTGAACAGTTTCGGAAAAATATGAAAATTTTCAGATGCAATTCAATTTGAAAATATTAACTTCACAGTCCTCACTTTGAATAATTTTGACAGAAATACAAACTGCAAAATGAAACATGCATTTAAATATGTTTCTAGTGATCTAAACAATGGGCTAAAACCCTGAGACATGGGAATATTTATGTTAACAGAGATCCTACATTACCCATCAGTGTTGTCACAATACTAAAATTTAAAACTCAACTCCCATAGTAAGGAATAAACTCAATACTCAAATACAATGATGATAATACAAAATCCTCTTTATTAGAGAGCCATTTTCAATATTAAATAATATTTTCTTTTATATTACCATGTGATCTTCAGTCATTCAGGTATATGTGGTCTTATACTAGTTCTAATACAGCTCAAGATCATTCTAAAGCTATTGAGAAAAGGTTCATTTCTGTCCTGTGAATGTGAATACAAATAACAGACATTGCAATTTGCTAATTACAACCATTCATATTATGATAGATCTATCTTTGGTAACTACTCATCTTACCATCCTAATTGTTTCTATATATATATTTTTTTTTAACCTCTGTCTTAAAGATCAGCCTCAGACTCCAACTCTAGGCTCCACCCCTTTTTCTCCTTCACTCCCGTCTGCAGCAGATCGCAGCCTCCCCCACAGGAAGTGCTACTCACCCACTATTCACGAATAAAAGAGGAGCATAGCGGTGCACATTCCCTTTGGCAGAGCTCGGCATTCTGGGAAATAAAGGAATGTCGTCTGTCATTACTGTACTAAGGGCTTTATTTCTCTCTCAGATCCAGTTACCAATACTGAGATCTGTCCCAAGTTGGATTTGGTCCTAAAACCATGTGGCTGTAGCAGTAGTGCTCTGGTAATTACTCTTAAAGGGACAGTATCTTTACAAACCTGATTATTACATTGCATACCATACATTCTCTGCAAAACTGAACTGAACTGAAGAGTGCCTGTGCTTTCAACACATGATCAAGTAGGGAAACACGTACAAGTTTCTAGAAATTATTAAATAGAAACACATTAAACAGGCCAATTATATTCAGTTACAACAAGGTTTTTCAGCTGTCAAGAAATGTTTGTCAAATGTTTTCTCTGTTTCTGTATATCTTGTCATCTTGTCTTTCTGTAGAACTGGAAGTAACCTCAATTTTGTCTTTCTTTAACTCGAGGCTGACTATGAGCCCGACCATTTAGTTAAAAGTCACAGCCTATGCTCATGTCTTCAGTGCCAAAACCAGGGGCAAAAGGCCTCTATACCGTGGTCTTTTTCTCACGCTTACCACACAACATGGTACTTTGTTTACCCCAGTAGATCTAAACCAACTGAAGGCTGCTTGAATATACTAAAAGTCTTTGAAAGACAAACTATGGGGGCTCAGCTGGTGAAGTGATTAGCTCAAAAGACACATTTTTGTATTTAGCTTGGACATGCTGCATTGATTCCACTCTGTCTGTTTCCTGTCTTTCTACAAGCACAAGTAGTATGACTTTAGGTGCTGCATGGCAATATTGAGATTTTAGTGTGTATACAAAATGATAATCTCAAAAGCTAAAAGTGCTTATCAAAAAGAAAATAAAAAAACTTGAATAATTTCTTAAACAAGGACACTAAATTATATGTCAGTCGTTTTTGCTGTTAAGTTTTGCAGCTAAATTTGGAAGTTGTTAAAATGTACAAACAAAAGGCTTTAGTTTTTTGACAGTGGATCATGGTGGATAATTTTGAGTAAAGACCCAGAGAAAAAACACTGAAAGACGACTCAGTAGCTCCACTTCAATCTTCAATTCACTGTGTGTTAGCAGATGTGATGCATGCTGTGTCTCTCATAAAGAGCTACACAGCCTGTTAAATTGCCTATGGGTGCTGGCTAATTGGTAGAAGATTTTAGGTTCCTTCTTTCAAAGCACAACTAATGATAGTGTTGAGTTGGACACTGAAATGCCGATATTTAGCCCTGTGTGTTATTAATAAGTTTTCCAGTTGATTCACAGAGAAAATTCTTTAAGTTACTGTAGGCCTGTCACAATAAATGCAATATTGACTTATCGTTCAATATATAAAACTAACTGTATATTGTTTGGCTCTAAATGTATCGTGTATGAGATCTGGGGTATTTTTGTTGTAATAGTAATAATATCATTTGAGCTTTAAAAAGTTGAAAACATCTGTGGCTAATGATTGGTTCATTCTGCTGTTTATTTGTTGCAGATTAGACCTTCTGAATGATACTGTCTATGTATTTAAAATGGTTTTCAAGGATCTTCTTGCATTAGTGTTATGGTATCAGTGGCATAAAGTAGTTTCAATATTGTCGTAGTATATCTCTGTGCTGTCTATATCTCGTGCTTAAAAATTTGACAGGCCTAAGTTACAGACTGCAAAAAACGACCAAACAGGTTTGAGATACATTGGCTTACTTGGTAAAGCAGCTTTTATTTTCCCTCAGGCTGCCCCTTCGTTCACCCCACCATTCGCTGTTTTCCATTTCCTGTACTGGTTTACGTAGGTAGAAAAAATACAGTACATGCTTCAAATTATAGAATAAACAACATATTTTCTTGTGTTTATTTATTTTATAGATGCTAACAATGGGAACGGCCTCAGCTCCATGTCTGAGCGTACGCCGCCTGGAGAGGTAAGTGCTACAGAATAACTGACTAAAAGGTGAATAGTGGTGGGCTTTGGCTCGGTTAAAAGCTTTTGTAGGAGTAAAGCCCTGACCTTTTGCTGACTCATCATTTTAAACACTATGTCACATGACGACAACCGCAATCTCAGCAAACTACACAGGAAACACAAAATATCTAATACAATGTATAATTTAAAGGGCTCATATTACACTATTTTCTGTTCCATGTTATAAGGTTTCCTCATCACAAACATGCCTGGAGTTGTGTTTTGTTTCATTCACACATGTTTCACACACAAAACCTGCATAATTAGGGATGAGTTCTTCTCTCAAACAGAAAACACTCTGTTCCACTTTGTTATGTCATGTGGTAATACAGGCAGTGCTCCACTGTGTTTTTAAACTCCATACACCTTCACTAGAACCATTTGAATTTCAGCCCTGAAATTACCAATCTCTACTGAACTAAAAGTAAAAGATAGATGTTACTTACTACCACTACATGGCATGAAAAAATATGAAAAACTACCACTACATGACATAACAAGGTGGAACAGAACATTTTGAGTACGCAGATAATAATAAAGAAATAAAGGATTACTCAAACATGGGTGAATTAAAAAAACATGGGTCTGGGTATGTTTTTGATGAGGTAATGACATAACATGGCTAAAAGCTCACAAGAGTCAATTTTGTGTATTACTGAAGCTTTAATATAAAAGTAGTCTAAAAGTGTTATTGCATCAGAGAGGACAAAGAGGGCCCACTTCAGTCTCATTAGTACCAGATTTCATCCATTATGTTCGCATTTAGCCCAGGCTCTGGCTAATGTTTAACCACCATTTTCCAAAGGATAATTCAGACTGGGTCACAGGATATTTGGTAGTTGAATGGTGGAGTCAGATAAACAAAGTGGGTGGAGTTCACAAAACCACCATCTTTTTCAGTGACATCATATACAGCTGTATATCAATTTGACACTTCTATAAGGCTTATTATGCAATATATAAATAATAAGCAATAATATAGAAAATCCCTGTAGTGTCTTGTAGAGTTCTAGTTCAGTGCATAATGTCCAAGAATGGTCAAAATATCCATATTAAAACTGGTATTGAAAAAGGATACTATTAATCAATATCAATGCTAAAATTACATAAATAAGACAAAATAGGATATTTCCTGAATGTGAAGTCATTTATGCTTTTTCTTGAATTTTGAGTCTTAAAATGTTTTGGTCTTTGTTTGCTAATGTGTGCGTTGTGTCACTGTGGTAACTGCTGAACATTCCGCCAACAGAGATGCATGTAGAACACCCCTATAAGGATGCCACTGCAAAGTATCAGAAATAACACAAGAACACATTGTAATATGAAAAAACACATAATTGTAACATAACACTCTTTTGTCAATAAAGATGTGGTTAATTTAGTAACGGGACAATATTGTAATGTCCTCATCCCATACATTTTTATAACTGCCAGACTCTTTTGGTCAAGTAAATTCTTGTTTGTATAACCATGCATTGTTTTTACTTCCACCCTTGTTTAAATATTTATAATTTCTGTCCACAGACAGAAAAGCTACGCTCAGACAAAGACACAGTGTTCTTCAGGGATGGGGTGAGAAGAATCGATTTTGTTTTATCTTACGTGGATGACAAAGATGGAGAGAAGAAACAGGTTGGTAAAAAAAAAAAAAAAAAGAACTTGGTCAGCTATTGTCTGTGTGACGTATATAGACAGTGGCCAATATTACACAATATTAATCCACAACAGGAATGAACTATGAGAAAAGAGGAAATGAGCTAAAATATTTTCCACAAACACAGGGAGCTACAACAGTTTTTTCTCATAGTGCTCTCTTTCTCTTTCACTAATATAAATGAGAGTTGGCCACACATTGTGTTTGCGAATATACTTTTTGGATATTTTCTATGAGTATAATGTAATCAATAGGGAAAACTGACCGTTGCCCTTCATTTGGGAGCATGATATCACATTCTGACTGTTGACTCTTTCCTGGTTTAGTTTGAGCCTAGTTTAGTCCTGATGCAGTCTTTCTTTGATCCTGTTTTAGTCTGGCCCAGTCCTGATTTAAGTCCCAGTTTTGACAAGATGTGTACACTGGTCTGAACACACTTACACATGACTGTGAGTAGGAACATTTCAAAAGAGAGCACAAAGAGAAATCTAAGTCAAGGATAAAATGTTCTTAATCATAATTTCAAACTTCAAACACAATGAAGAGATTATCTGTGCTTTTCACGTGACCTGTCAGTGATCATCATGTAAGCACCATGGGTCTGTTACTGCTAAAACAAGTCAATGTCATGCAGGACAAAGAAAAATGTGAACATATGCCTCAAAGATTATTACAGTTTGCTCATTAATACATACCTTTATAACTTTTGGAAGAATGGGAAAATGCTCTCAGTTTGTTTTAAATCTGAATGGTGATTTGGTACAAGAGCCACTGCATCTGCTCATACTTTCAGGGTCAAAACATGTACTTGTTCTCAACAAAGAAAACTAGGCATTTTGTTTATTTGAGAAGACAGATTCAAATGAACTATATGAAAAAAGCAAGAACTGTGAGAGAAATTATTATTAAAATAGTATTAAAATTAGTTAATTAGTATAACTTCATTAATAGTACATATTGTCCATGGCTTCACATACTTCTTCAATCCTTGGAAATGCATGTGTTACTAAGGAATAGAACCATAGATAACGCCTATTGTTTTGTTGTCAAGGATGTTTTGCATTCACCTTTCACCCTAAACATCCCATTTTGCCCTATAAATTGCATTTTGTATCAATTGCCTTGGTTTAGTGATGACATTTATGTACCTAGTGGTCACAAGAAGTATGCTGGGTTCATGATGGCGGATTAATTCCTTATGTGGGTATTTCTAAATTTAGATGTTATGCCACTGTGCCCTCTGCCACACCTCTGCTGCACTGTTACTTTATTTATTCACTTCATTGTTTCACTAGAGCCTTGGCATTTTTGTTCTTAAAATAAAACTGTATGAGTTATAAAGTTAAGTCTGCTTAAAATCACAGCGTCATGTGCTTTTGTCAGATTGAATATTTTCCTGAGTATGTTGTGTTTTATTAATGGACTCATAATCAAGTTGTGTATATTTTTTCCAGGAAAGGAGGAAAGAGTTTGAAGCCAATCTTGAAAAAATTGGTCTCGAGCTGGAGACTGAAGACAAGTCTGTAAGAAATTCAACTGGCCTCTTCTGCCATCTAGTGGATTTTACATGCACTCACAACATGTAACCTTCACACATCTTAAAGGGATGTGCTGTCACTAGAGCGCAACAGTGTTTTCTTTTATGCCTAAAAAATTCTCTGAATATTCAGCTTTCAACTTTTTTCCCATTCAAAAGATTGAATACTTTTAAAAAAAATTGTTAATCACGATGGGAACTGTTCTCATTTTTCATAATTCTGAAACCCATGGATTCTCATTAAAATAACATTTATGGATTCAGTTGTTAAAGGCACACTTTTTTGAGGACTTAATCATTCAAAGGATACAATATTTTGTTTTGAATTAATGAGTTAACTACTATAGCAACCGTTTCATCTCTCTGAAGCCCATTGATATTTCTTTTTGCTTTTTTCAGGAGGCAAAGGACCAAAAAACCTACTTCTTAAAGGTTCACGCTCCTTGGGAAGTGCTGGCAAAGTACGCAGAGATTTTAAAAATCAAAGTTCCCTTCAAAGAGAGTGACATCCCACACGGCCATGATGCTGCATTTCATTGGCTATCCCACCCTTTCCGACTCCCAGACACCATCATGCACCCAGTCAACGATTACTTCACCTGCCCCTTTAACAAAGACAAGGAAGACTTCTTCCTCATCCAAGACAAAGACATTTTCTTTCCACCATCAACAAGAAACAGAATTGTAAGAGTTTCAAGAACAAAACATATTACTTTATACTTTATATAAATATTTTGATCTCCTAATCTAGATAAACTGTATAAATATGCAAATTCATGAAACAAGCCATATCCTATGTGCAGCTGATTATTGAAAACATTTACTTAGGAACAGAAAAATTATATTAGAAATCCCTTAACGATTTGTAAGGGATTTCAACAACAACAACACAAGACAGCCTTATTATTTACCACGTTCTTCATCTTCTACACAAAGACAGACAATCTAAGAATATACACATTAAAGATGCATTGTGTAACTTTTCCACTGAGCATCCGTCACCTTCTTGTTTCTATGTATATGTCATTGCTGTGCTTAGAATGTTCCACAGTATGACATTAAACATCTGTCTTACATTTGTTCAATTACAGGTGGTTTTATAGCTAAAAATACCTTGTAAAACAGGCATTCTGACTGTGCGCGGGGTTGACTCTCCACAGATCTGACCTGTAACTTGGTCTGGTTTGGTCTCCATGAAGATAGAAAGGTTGTGGACAAAGCAATAACATCTTCATGAAGAAAAGCATTTGAAGGGCCCTCTCCCAGAACTTACACAATGCACCTTTAATGAAACCTTTAATAAAACTACCTCATATCCTATAAGTGCTGCTGAATTATACAACCACAAAAGTTTTCAGCAGATATGGTTAGGGACAGAACATTTAAATTAATAAGTATTAGGTAACAATAACAAAAGGTCAATCTCAAAACTACAGTATTGGAAATAAACTAGTTTTTGATCATGTTTTTCCCATAAGGTGTACTATATCTTGTCTCGATGTCCATATTATAAAGAGGGAATTAAAGAAAGAGACAAGGTTGGGGTCAAACGACTGTTAAGTAATGGCACCTACATTGCAGCTTTTCCACTTCACGATGTAAGTCAATACTAAGACTACTAACTTCAGAAATATTCTACTTTCTAATCAGCTTGGATAACCACAAAAATATGCTTCTGTATTTTTGAATATAGTGCCGTTACTGGAAAAGAGGCGGAAATCCTGATTGTGAGAGTGAACGATACAACTTATACAAAAACTGGGCCAGGTTTCTCAGTTTTTACAAAGAGCAGCCGCTCAACCTCATCAGGTAAGCATCAAATAGAGAGAGGGGTGGGGCCTGGGAGTGTTTTATTTTATTTGATTTCATTTTTTTCTATTTAGTTTTTTTGTTTTGTATAATATTAAAATCCAACAAAAAAACACATTGTTAATAACATTTGCTCTTTCAGGAAATACTACGGGGAGAAGATTGGGATCTACTTTGCATGGCTGGGGTTTTACACAGAAATGCTGTTCTTTGCAGCTGTTATGGGAGTCATCTGTTTTATCTATGGGCTTCTCAGTTATGATGACAACATAACAAGGTCAGTGGTGGACAAGTGGATGTGGAAATAATATACGACTTCTATGTTTTTGTTTATCGTGTATACAGCAGATTCATTTGATTGAGCAATTACTAATATAGACAAACTACACTATGGTGTTTTGGAATACATCATAAAAATATACCATAAAGGGCTTTAATTAAACATCTAACTAAAACTTTCTTTTTGTGCTGTAGTAAAGAAATATGTGATCCTTATATCGGGGGAAGTATCCTTATGTGCCCGCTATGTGACAAAAAGTGTCCTTTCTGGAAGCTCAACTCAACATGTCTATCTTCTTGGGTAAGATGTACTGTAAAACTGTTACAACATTAAAGGTCCTATATTACAAGAAATTGACTTTAAGCCATGTTAGAACGTTCCTTTATCTATAACATATCTGGAGTTGTGTTTTATTTTATACATGCTTGAGTAACTCTTTATTATTAGTCTGTCGGCATCTCTAAAACTCAAAATGCTCTGTTCCACCTTGTGGTGTCATGAAGCGGTAGTTTTCACATTAACAGCTACATTTTACCTTTTGTTCAGTACAGCTTTAAACTTCAGGGGTGAAATGATCCAACTGATTCTAGTGAAGGTGTACGAAGTTTAAAAACACAGTGGTGGACTTTCTGTATTACCACATGACATTATAAGGTGGAACAGAGTGTTTTCTATTTCGAGAGAAATACAATCTAAATATGCAGAGTCTGTGTGTTAAACATGTGTGAATGAAACAAAACACAACTCCAGGTCTGTTTTTGCAGAGGAAACATGGATGAGAAAATAACATAATATTACAGTGCAAAATAAATACCACATGAAATGGCAGTAGAATTGTGTCAGATGTGTGATCAGCAAAATGTCCTGTTTATTCATCACTGTGTCATCCTGAAGACTGTGTGTCACTTCCTGTTGAATTGTTTCTTTCAGCAATCACACTTGTTTGACAATGAGGGGACCGTATTCTTTGCCATATTTATGGGAATCTGGGGTGAGTGTCATGATGTGTCATAACCTAAAAATACATTTTTGAGGGCATAAGTAAATTATTTCTTAAAACTGTAGTATTTCAAAGCTCATATTATCCAAAATTGATGTAACAATGGTAGCTTATGAGAGAGGATGCTGTGATATAAAATGTTGGTGTTATGATAATTATGAGAGAAACATCATGATTTTACAATTATTCACGAATATTGATGACCAAAAGACAGTGAAATCTACAAATCACTTTCGTTCACATTGTCCAATATCTTATCATCCCTATCATATATTAGTAGCTTTATGAAATAGCACTTTCTGAGTGATAAAGTAAAGTTAATGTGAGATAAACTTCAAAATATAATACTTACATTTATATTGTGACCTGAATAATAACAACATCCCTGCTTATAACATAAAGGATGATCAAAATCTTTCAAAACCATATGTAGTCACTGCATTTACCTTTGCCTGTCTGTGGCAGTGACTCTGTTCTTGGAGTTTTGGAAGAGGCGTCAGGCCCGTCTGGAGTACGAGTGGGACCTGGTGGACTTCGAGGAGGAGCAGCAGCAACTTCAGACCAGGCCCGAGTTTGAGATCCAGTGCACTGGACGCAGACTCAACAAAATCACACAGGTGCAATAATAACTGATTAATTCACTACATACAACACAATATATATATATATATATATATATATATATATATATATATATATATATATATAGCCACAAAACCCTATATGTGTGCTTATTAAAGGACCTATATTGCCCTATTCATGTTATTTCATCAAAAACATACCTGGTGTTTCATTTCATTCACACATGTTTAACACACAAACCTATTTAGACTTCCTCTCTCAAATTGAAAATACTGTTCCACCTTGTGATGTCATGTGGTAATACAAGAAATGCTCCATTGTGTTTTTAAACTTCATATGCCTTCACTAGAATCCTTAAGATGATTTCTGCACTGGAATTGTCAATGGCTACTAAACTAAAGATAGAAGTTAGCTACTAATTGGAAAACTACCACTTCATGGCATCAGAAGATGGAACTGAGCATTTTATGCTTTGGAGATGTAGACACTAATAATAAAGGGTTAATCAATCATGTGTGAATGAAACAAAACATAACTCCAGCTATGTTTTTGAGCAGGTAATAGGATTATTAAATTATCAGTTTTGGTCATGGGGCTATGGGGCTATTGATAATAGTGTATTATCAAATTGCTGTTTTTGTCTATACTTGTTTACCAGAAATGATGTTTATATATGCCTTTAGGAAATGGAGCCATATCTTCCTATCACCACAAGGTGCGCTCGTTTCTGCCTCTCCGGGGCCACTGTTCTTTTCTGGGTATGCAATTTACTCATCCAACAATTATCATACATAGTCGTCTTAATCTTTGCATTTTATCTTACACCTCTAATCTTCCATTTGTACACAGATGTCCTTGATAGTGGCATGTATCATAGGGGTCATAGCCTATCGCCTGGCTGTGTACGCTGCCTTCGCGAGTATCATCAAAGACCCCATGAGGAAGATCCAGTTTGTAGGCAGATTTATCACTCCGCAGCTCGCCACGTCTGTCACCGCCTCCTGCATCAACTTCGTCATCATCATGATCCTCAACTTCCTGTACGAGAGGGTGGCAGTGTGGATCACTGATATGGGTAAGGACCACTTGTTAATGTTTACGTATACTAGGATATGGGACTTAGTCATTCGGATACGATGCTGTCAGTTTTGTTGTATAATCAATAATCAATTCAATTTGTGGATGGAAATCTGCCCCCACAAAATCTCATTAACCTGTTCTAATTATCTTTCAAGAAAATACAAACTCAATAGACAAGAGTGGTGATGCCATTCAACTAACTCAATATATTTGTCTATTTCAGAAATCCCAAAGACTCATCTGGAGTATGAGAACCGTCTCACCACTAAGATGTTCCTGTTCCAGTTTGTGAACTACTACTCGTCCTGCTTCTATGTGGCCTTCTTTAAGGGCAAGTTTGTGGGCTACCCTGGACACTACACTTATATGTTCGGCAGAAGCAGCAAACTGAGAAATGAAGAGGTGAGTGTCTCCGACAGAGTCCACGCAGTTAAATTCTATGTGTAGTTTGTGTTGATTCAAACTTGTATTGTGGGTGACAGTGTGACCCTGGAGGCTGCCTCATTGAGCTCACTACTCAGCTGGTGATCGTCATGGCGGGAAAACAAATGTGTGGGAACATTCAGGAGGCTCTTCTGCCGTAAGTGCCCTTTAAGTATTCATATTAAAATGACTCAAGCTACTGTAAAAGCCGTGATCCAATACAGACTGCTTCAGAGCTTTAAGTGGCAAAGGTTAGAAATAATGACATTTAGATTATTTAGCATTTTAGCTTTTTTGGTCAAGCCAGATGGCAGTCATCAAATCCATAAGGGATTGGAACCAGACAACTGAGGGTGAAAATCCTCCATCCAAACCACAATTGCTGATTTGTATCATGTGACTCTCTCTCTCTCTTTTTTTAAAATAATGTTATTTATAGGTTTTCATAATAAAACAAAACTTTAAGCTTTAAAACGTTATGTCGTTCTCTAATTTGAAAGACATCTCCAAAATCCTCATATCATTCAGAGCAAAATATATTAGTATGTAATAATAATAATCAGCAAAAATCTGTGCTGTTTCTCCAGACCATGCCTCTCTCTGATTGGTTAGTCCGCCTGCCAATCATGATCTGTGAACTTGAGGTGACATGATATGGCTCCAGATGCACTTGTCTTTATAAAGTTTTGTCAAAACATGTTGTTCTGGCTGGCGAGATAAACACATGCCTGCATTAAATGCTGCTCTCTCGCCCTACAATTTTAGTTTAGTAGCTTAGTTTGTCTTATTTAATAGATGTAAGCTAAGGTAATGAATATGTGGTGTATCAGATCCTAATAGTTTAGTTTGTTGTTTTATGTTGTTGTTTTTCAGGGTGATAAGAAACTGGTGGAACAGTCGTAAGACACGGCGCCACCCAGAGACACACTACAGTCGATGGGAGCAAGACCATGTGCTCCTTAACTTCAGTCAGCTCGGTCTGTTCTACGAATATCTGGAGATGGGTCAGGATCAAAAACTTTTTCTTTACTTCACTTTACTTAACTCTACTTAAAGAAGATTATGTACATTTGACTTTCATGAGCTGGTAAACCATGTCATAACAGTGTTCCTTCGTTAATCAAAGTTGTATTTTGATGCTAATAACCATGTATTGTCCTGCATCTGAGGCTTGAGTGCTAAGAGAATTGCTGTTTTCACCTACCCCCTATTTATGCCCACTTCTCTGTACTTGTTATTTATTTATTTTTTATTTTTTAATTTACTCCGGGTTCAAAAATGTAACAGCCACTTTGCAGCAATAAAAATATAAAAATACATTGCTTGCTGTGATGAAATTCAAACTGTGAAGAGGATGGGTCCATCAATTGTGCAATTCTGAACAGGAAGTCAAGAGACCTATGTCTATAACTAAGCTGCTTTAGATCAATATTGTAGTCTACAATGAACAAAAAAATATATAACTTATGTAAACCTTTATTATTATTATTAAATACTAAAAATCCAAAAAGCATAATATGTCTCCTTTGAACTGTTCACTATCTCTTCACACAATTGACCCTGACTCTTTTTTTTTTTCCCTGCAGTAATTCAGTTTGGATTCATCACTCTTTTTGTGGCGTCTTTCCCTTTGGCTCCACTCCTTGCTCTTTTCAACAACATCCTGGAGATCCGAGTAGATGCATGGAAATTTACCACTCAGTTCAGGCGCCCAGTTGCTACAAAAGCTAGAAACATTGGATCCTGGCAAGAGATACTTAACGCAGTGGCCATTTTGTCAGTCGTCACCAATGTAAGTAGAAATGATCACTAGTTCACGCTCTTCACAGCCTGTTATTGTACTGTGATTGCTTAAATATTTAGCTAGCTAATTTTATTTTTCTGAATAATATATGAATCAATATACACCACAAAACCATTGGGGTATTAAAGAAAAAGGCTTAACAATTATACAACAATCTGTATTCAGGATTTCTAGTGAGGTATGATCTCTAGTGAATACATACTGTTAGTATGTATGTTCAAAATATAGTAAACATTATAAACAGTCCATAGAAAATGAATTTGCTCTGTCTATCAATACTCTTTAGTCTGCACGAATATTTACAATTACTTAGCAATAATCAAGATGGAACACACTTCAGGTCAATGGTTCCTCAGATCAGCTTCAGTTATAAGTTGCACCTATGAAATAGATGAAATCAATAGATAGAATATAGAATAGATAGAAATCAATTAATTAATAGAAAGAAACCAAATTTTATCAATTTTATCAATCATTTATATCTAGCAGATTCTTTCAAACCACCTGTTTATACTATTACCCTCTTGGAGACACTACAGAGTGTGTGCCCTACATAGACTGTCTAAAGAAGTGGACTAAGTGGTCCAGTCGAAAGAAGCACACGAGGCTAGCAGTTATAGGAGCCATGTTCCATATGAGGAATAGAAATGTATTTACGGACAAAATAACCAGTATCCTTGGCACAGCAGTATACACCAGTATAATCTAGAGCAGCTTAATATGAACATTTTAAGACCAAAATGATGAGCTTCACCGTAGCAGATACAGAGAGGGATGACATTTTTCAATGTAAAGTCGATGGAGCTGAAAGCATCCCCATGCTCACTTGCTTTACAGAGCACGGTGGCTAGTGGGTTAGCTATGTCCATTTATACAGTCTGTGGTGCAATTTCAAACTAAATGCCAATAGATAGTCAATGTAACAATAAAATATGTATAATATATTCTCTTCTTCCCCAGGCCTTCATCATGGCGTTCACATCGGACATGATTCCTCGGATGGTCTACCTGTACGCTTACAGTGGCAGGTCTTCTATGATGGGCTACATCAACAACAGCCTGTCTGTGTATCAAGTCTCTGAGATACCAGAACCCAACATGCCAGAAGAGCGCAGCGGCTGGTTCGACAACTCCACCACCTGCAGGTACTAAATGTTTTCATCTAGATCAGAAGTTACTATTTAAAATCTATATTTAGCCTACAGCTATTTTTGTTTACGTTTTTATGTGTATATCTAAAAGGAAAAAGATGCTGAAAACTTTGAGAATAAATGACTGATCTATACATTGAAATAAATCTGAGCTAACTATGTCCTATATCTCTGCATTTGTTCAGATATTTTATCCTAAACATTTTATTAATGTTGATGTTTTTCCAGATACCGAGATTACCGGTATCCCCCGGGACACCAGAAGGAGTACACTCACACAATGCAGTTCTGGCATATTTTGGCGGCCAAAATGGCCTTCATTATCATCATGGAGGTTTGTTTCACCCATGTTTTTTCATTTAAATATGTTTGTGTATGAATTTGATATATATTTTTGTCCCCACAGCATATTGTTTTTGTGGTTAAGTTCTTTGTGGCCTGGATGATCCCGGATGTCCCATCAGATGTGAAAGCCCGTATTAAAAGAGAGCGCTACCTGGTCCAAGAGTATCTCCATAACTATGAAGTGGAACGAGTCAAACTCCAGCTCAGTGCTAGTTTCATCACAGAGCCTCCCTCGGAATTATCATTGCCTATGGACAAACATGAAATACTGTCTGAGTGCCTGTAGCTTCCATCTACTAACATACTAGATTTAAATTATTGCATTCTCTATAACTAACTACCATTGTCATATTCCTATATTAGGATGTGAAGATATCATAATGTGTTTAGTGTTGCTTTTCATATCTGTGAACGCTGAATGGCCTGTACAGGTGCATCTCAAAATGATAGAATATTGTAGAAAAAGTTAATAATTTCAGTAGTTCAACTCAAAAGTGGACTCTACATTGTACTGTATTTTATTTCTGCACAGACAGAGGTCACTCATTTTAATTGCAGTAATTATGATAATTAAAGGATTTTAGATATTTTTTTTTCTGCAAGCTAAATGATCATAGTTCAGTACTGTATGTTTTACAGACACTTCATAATATATAGACTTTTTTTTGTTAATACAACTTTTTTATTATTATTTTGAGATGCACTTTTACATCTAAGTAGGAAACGGAAAGATGTAGCTAAACTGAAAAAGTGAACCACAGCGGTTGTCATATCCCTTTACCCACTGTTAAGGTTAAGATTGTTGTTGTACCTTGTTCCTTGCATGCAGTTGCTTTAAATGCTTACAAAATGAAGGACTAAACTGCTGAAAATGAAGCTAAATGTACATGTATGTGTGAACCAAATATGCTGGATCCTTGTGGTAAAAAAGTGATATCATTGTGAAGCCTGATGTGTAACATGCTAACACAAATATTATGATTATGTTTAATATATGAATGTAGTATAAAACGTTTTAAACACTTTAAATTTAGATTTCAAAGTCTAAGTCTTTTTTGTCATACAGACAGCAAATTTAAACTGCCTGTTTAACTAATGTACCTCAAAATTTGTAATTACCAAAATGTTATTATGTTCTGCCACAGAGATGTCAAAATTAACATTAACCTATTTACAATTATGATCAACACAATCAATAGCCTGATCATGTTGAGTTTAGTTATTTTGGTTTACATTAGACTTTTGTTTAAAAGAGCTTATTACATGAGCAGGTCGTACCTTGTAGCTAGCTATAAGTGTTGATGTAAATATTGTAATTCATTTATTGACCTGTTTATAGAGTTATTTTAAATTGTCCATCATATATTTTTGTTAGTACACTTAAGGTTACTGTGTAAACTAATGATGCCAAGTTAGAAGGGATGGAAGGCATACAGGTGTTGTTCATTCAAACACAGCTCTCATACCTGACAGCTCTTTGTGGGCTGTTGTGGTTGCTGGAGCATGACATTGTAGTTGTACTGGATTTGACATTAGCCAGTCTGTCAGTGTGAAGACACCTGTCTGCTTGTTATAAAGGCTTCACTGTAAGCACTACAGTTTTTTTTTTTAATCTTTTTTTCTTTTTTTTTTATCCAAGTATGAGGCTAATTTGAAACTGTTTTAATGCTGCAAATAAAACCAATATTTCAGGATATCACCAATTAAGAATATGTAGTAGTCTGATCCACTCATACCTCAGGTTATGACTGATGATAAACATAATGTTAGAGGGCTGTTGTATGCAATTCTCCAACCAATGCCTTAAATATCTATGTTTACTTGTATTTATATAATTTTGTATTGACAAATTTGAAATGTGCATTTATAAAAATCTTTATCAGGATGTGTTGCAGCTGCTACATTGCAATGTAGTCTTTTGTGTTAAGCATGAAAAAAATCACAGATTTTGTTTGTACTGTTAGAAGTAATTCTCACTGCTGCCAAATGTACATGTGAACATATTATAATTAAATGTATGTTTTAAAAAAAACTAAAAACTTGTGATTTTTTCATCTATTAGAATATAAAAAACATTGTCACAGGGACACATACTCAGTGTTACACAACTTATCCATTTATTTAATTATATATATGGGTTCTACATGAAATGGCAACATTAATTCCCAAATATCTTCTCTGGATTTAAAAATATACTTCAGTGAGGTATATGAGAGGATTTGCTCATTTGGAATAGTCAGGGTGTGTGGTGTTCGTATGTGCACAATCTGGAGCCAGAACTCCATCAAATAATATAAGAGCAAGTGCAAATCACCCTTTTAGGTGGCATTATTAAATATTAAACGCCATTGTCTTCTGAGACTGTAGAAAGCATGAGTTTAAAATAGTCAGCTCAGAAACTTTTTAGATTTCACGTTCAACGCTGCTATTCCTTTTATGACCACCAGGTGGCGTACGGAACCCACAAATAAAAAGTGACAGCTAAATTCTAGATTTTAGTTTTTTTTTGTTTGTTTGTTGTTTGTTTTTCAATCTATGGTACAATATTATTATTATTATTATTATTATTAGTATTGTTATTATTATTATTATTATTATTATTATTATTATTATTATTATTATTGTTGTTGTTGTTGTTGCTATTACAACAGAAGAAGACAACAAGAAAAAAAATGCCTTGCCAAACAATAATGCCAAGTAGCCTATATCTAAATAGTCACGTGCTTCTATCCTAAATTTTCCAGGGAAAGAAAAAGCAGCACGAGGCAGCCCGTGTGAGGATGCGGTTGCCAGGGGGATGGAGACTGGGGAGACGTGAATTATTGATGGATTCCTGAGTTGGGGAAAGGAGCTGGATGTTGAAGGAGGAATCCACTCCCGTTCATTTGGTTTCCATAGCACCGCCCTCTCTAGCTTTTTGCATCTCCCTATAATGCTGTATTTATGTATTTTAAAAAATACTCATCGAAATGTAAATATAGGAAACTGCGTTCTAAATAAATCTATTCACTTAAATAGGAACATTGGATACTATTTTGAAAGTCAGTATTTTTGAACGTTTTTCTTAATAACACATTAACATGGTTCTTAAAAAAGAGTACGCTATTCATTTAAGAGTTAAGACAAATATATTGCGGCTCTGGCCTGCGCTGGCCCGTGTTGCAGTCCAGATGTGGCACGCGGAGCTGACCTCGGTGCTGAGCACGACGTCAGATAAACCTGCGCGCGCCACGGGAGACACAAGCCCGCCTCACTCCCTCTTTGATTTATTCACGCTTCTCCAAACACCACCGTCTGCTCTGTAAAGTTGGCCTTTTCTTTACGTCGATATATTTCTTCTCTCATTTCATTTACAGTGCCTTTACCACATCGACATTTCGTTTGACGGCTTTTGGTTTTGGTGCGCTTGTGATGCCTACTGTACGCGACGCACGAGATGGGCTGCTGCTGCTGGACGGAGGCACGCACCTCGTTTGATTCGCGCTGAACCGAGGGCATTTTTTTACTTTGCAGATCATCCGGTCATTTCGTCCTGTCGGATTCGCGTTTTATTTTAAAAATCGGGTCGTTGTTTTAGTCGGCCGTCCTGCGTCGGAACATGACCAACAGGCTTTAGATATTTTAGACAAGGCCTGACCCACAGAAACTGGACATGGAGTCCGTGAAGAGCCGAGCCGCGACGGGGATGAAGGAGTTTGCGGGGAAGACCCTTGGCCATGTGTACAGGTAAGAACACGGGGTTCTCATGGTCTCCTCAGCTGACCTCTGTGCGCTAAGGTTCAGTGACAACGCTTAATAATTACTGCAGGTCCCACTGAAATATCAGCGATTTAAAAGAAAATGGATACACTAAAATCTCAAACACCTTTAATGATGTAAGGAAATTACACTGGTCACTCCACTGGAAGTGAATTATGCAATCATATGCGCACTGGCCTTGATGCGCGTTGAGTGTGTACATGCGCGTGTGCGTGCAGTGCGTGTACGTAGCCGTGTACGCGATGGCTCTGGCGCGGTTCCGTTAAGATGGCTTTACAGTAGAACAGGGCTAATCACAATCTACGCTCAGAAGCGGGCCTCGTGGGTCTGCTCAATGCAAAGGATTGGAGGCCACACGATAATGTTATAGCCTCAAGTTCAACCAGCGTTTGTTTTGAAAAACATCTTGCCGTTGTGAGAGCCTTCGTTTATTAAAATTAAAATAAATAAATAAAAATAAAAAAAACTACCCTTGATACTATGTCATTATGACATGCGTTAAGCGTCTTTTTATAAAGCTTTTTTACATTGAAACATTTACAACTGTAGGCTTCAACTCCAATCATATTCGGGAATCATCATCCATCTTTAAGGGCGTTACCATTTTTTGCTCTCCAACATATTCTCAAGTTAAAATAACCTACGGAGTCCCAAGATCTTACCAACCTCATAGTGCTACATGCCTTGCTGGCCTGATACTGAATACAAGCTATTTTTTTTACTTTTGGTTATATTCTTGTATTTAGGTGTAATCTTATCTTGCCAATTCCATCCATGTAGTGACATCTGATAGGTGCACATATCTTTTCACTATAAGTCTACATCTGTCCAGGGTGTGTGATCTAGAGATGGTCAGATCGAATGTGACTTTCCCAAAAAGGGGGAAGACTTTGAGGAAAGCCCAGAGAGCGTCTGGAGCTGAGAGCTGCTCGGTTGGTGAATGTTAATGAGGGAGAGATGCTGCTGCAATGCGGTACAGCAGCACGACAGCTTTCAGTTTTCAGGTGGTTTATATGCATACAAATAAAATAAAATGGCCCGATGATAGTGGCTTTTAGGCAAGCACATGGTGGCAAACTGGAAAATCACGCGCGGCGTTAGTCAGTGCTCTCGGGGCCTCTGCCCGTAGTGGTTATATTTTTTACACGAGTTGTTTTGATGCTTGATTCATTCATGTTTAGCTGTTTGAAATGTGCTTAAAACAGAGGAAGTATTCAAAGGGCCTCCTGGGTGGATGGTTTTGACAAAAAAATAAAAAGGTGGACAGGTGGTCTCACTGTAAAGTCTCTTCCAAGATACAGGCTAGACACAGTGCTCTACTCTCTCCACAGGGCGATGGAGAAGAAACAGAATACTGGAGATGTAATAGAGCTAACAGAAGATGGTCGGCCTAAAGAGGCCGCAGAGAAGAAGCCTCCCATCTTTGACTGCACGTGCTTCGGTCTGCCTCGCCGCTACATCATCGCCATGATGAGCGGCCTGGGCTTCTGCATCTCCTTCGGTATCCGGTGTAACTTGGGCGTGGCCATAGTGAGCATGGTTAACAACAGCACCATCCATCAAAATGGAAAGATCATCGTCAAAGAGGTGTGGCCCGGCTCCGCGCTGCTGACGCACACTTCACGTACAGCATGCCTCCACTCTCAGCATCCCCTCAGCGTTCAGGGGAGCTCAAAAGCACAAATGCACACAGGCTTCAGATTGATGAAGTCCGAACATAATGAGTACAAGAAAACGCATATTTAAGTTTACCCTGATCTGAACAGACGACAGAGAGAGGGAGGTTGTCTGTATAGGTTGAAAGGTTTAAGGCTGAAAACCAGTGGCGTAGTCTACCATTTTGAAAAGGCATATGAAAGATGAAAGGCCTGCAATACACTGCATTAAACAGAGAGTTGATGGAGATTGACATCAAATGAAAAATATTGTCACTTTAATGTGCAAATTTGCCTAATTCATATTTAGGGCCATTTAGCCATAGGCCTAAGCACAAATTTGCATAAATACCTCGTAAAATGTGCCTATTTGAAAATACAAGGTAAATGAGGAAGAAATAAATAGAATAACTGCTGTGACAAAATATTAGCCTGCTGGCCATACAAATTAAAATCCGCGATTTGAACGATTTGATATTGTTGTTTAATAGAAAGCCAAGTTCAGTTGGGACCCGGAGACAGTCGGTATGATCCACGGGTCGTTCTTTTGGGGTTACATCGTGACGCAGATCCCGGGAGGATACATATGCTCGCGGCTGGCAGCAAACAGGTAGGCCTATACGCGGTGTCTCCATCTCTGTCATTAAACCCAATGTCAACATGAGCTTATGGAAAATTGTCACCCGAGCACAGGAAAAATACAAAATAAAACAGAGAAAGGCCCAGAGGAGGAGGTGTCCATGCCTTCGAGCCTCTCCGGAGTGGTGTGAGACTGGAGGCGAGGCGGGGGCCGCAGACACACTGCTCCCGGGCGCGGGCTTTGTGCCACCTGTTAATGAGCTCCCGGGGGAGCCGGCTTTAATCTGTCCCGCTCTCAGGGCATAGACCATGGGCCCTGTATTGTCGCCAAGGCAATTTTTTCACAGTGAAATCTATCAGCGCTTCTTTGCTAAAATATGTAGGTTTGGCATTGTTTAGAAAAGTGAAGGACTAACGCATTGGTCCCATCGACTGGAGTCCTCCTGGAGCCTACTGTAATGCTGGCTATCCAGGGCCTCGATCCCAACAAAAAATTTAAAATGTCAAAAAGAAAGGAAAACGCTTCGTTTTTCAACAATTACAACAATTAGATGCAAAATGCCGTGCGCATTTAGTGCACACCACGGCATCATTTGGGTTTCATTGCGTATCAAAGACAAACAATCCTGAACAAACATAGGCCTAGTCATGCATATTTATTTATTTATTTATTTATATATTTAATGGGTAAAATAATGATATAAAAATGTATTTCACAGGGTTTTTGGTGCAGCAATCTTCTTAACGTCAACTCTAAACATGTTCATCCCCTCTGCTGCACGAGTCCATTACGGCTGTGTCATTTTTGTCCGAATATTACAAGGGCTGGTGGAGGTATGTGAGTGTGTGTTATTGTTTTTCCCCGGATTCTCTTCTCAACATTTTTGTTGACTCGATGCTGAAATGTATAGTCTATTTGTAGAGAGTGAAACTGAAGACGGTATTAATCAATATGAGTACTATCACCACAAAAGGTTCATAGATTTGTTGCCAAACAACAAGCGCTCCATGCCAATAGAAGAAATGATTCACTTTTATCAGTTGAAATATTCAATCAACATACTACACATCAGTTAGAATTTTAAAATGAATGATATTATTGTATTGAATAGCAATTGTTCTTCGCTTCAAGAACAGCACAGAAAAAATGTCTCTGTGGTATTTGTTAAAATAGTGAATACAGCCTATATTTTTTCTTTTTAAGGGAGTGACCTACCCAGCATGCCATGGCATCTGGAGTAAATGGGCTCCTCCACTAGAGAGAAGTCGTCTTGCCACCATTTCTTTCTGTGGTAAGTGCCTATAATATTCACGTATTTAAGTGTAAACAGTGTCTTTATATCTGAGAGTCTTGCCTCTATTTGCTTTAGGTTCATATGCTGGTGCTGTGATCGCCATGCCTCTGGCTGGGATCCTGGTTCAGTATACAGGCTGGTCCTCAGTCTTCTATGTTTATGGTAAGAATATGCTCTATGTGTACAGTATGTATATGTCAAATGCATTGAGCTGCTGTGCTTTGGAGATTTAGGTTGAATTGTTCAGTGAAATCCAGTGAAAGTCAAATGGATTTATCTAGGGAGGGAGGCCATATTGATTTTCTCCATCTAATGTTTTGCTGTGTCAATAATTAAAGCACCCATCTGTCTCTCAGGACTGGATAAAGTTAGCCTTACGGCCTAAATTTAATATGAAATGAGAGTGATAGCTGTATACATCATTTTGACAAAATGTAACTTGAGATTGAATTTGCAATATATAAATGATCATAAACAATAATTTAAAATGCAGTTTACACTGTACATTTCAAACACATTAGCAGCATTATTTTTGATAAGAATACCTGATCCTGATCGCAACCATTCAAACTGTATTGTTTGCGATTGTTGTTTCTTGATTTTGTGGCTGACCATAAACTGACCATAAACCATGTCTTTTTGTAGGATGCTTTGGCATGTTCTGGTATTGTTTCTGGATCTTTGTGTCTTATGAGAGCCCTGCTGACCATCCGTCTATTAGTGATGAGGAACGCTGCTACATAGAGGAGAGCATTGGAGAAAGTGCCAAGCTAATGGGGCCTTCTGAGGTATGACCATGAACACCCCTAAAATGCATAGGGTCCACACACATCCTTACTTACAAACTATTCTCGTTGTAGAAATTCAAGACCCCATGGAGAAAGTTCTTCACCTCTATGCCTGTCTATGCAATCATTGTGGCCAACTTCTGTAGGAGCTGGACATTTTACCTGCTGCTTATCAGTCAGCCTGCCTACTTTGAGGAAGTCTTTGGATTTGAGATTAGCAAGGTAAACAATTCTTTTCAAAACCATTTCATCTAAGACTGGAGAAATTGAAATAATCCCCGTTAAATCTTATTTGGTTTAGGTTGGTGTGCTTTCTGCTCTACCCCATTTGGTAATGACCATCATAGTGCCCATTGGCGGCCAGTTGGCGGACCACCTGCGCAGCAAAAACATCCTGTCGACCACCACTGTCAGGAAAATGATGAACTGTGGAGGTGAGAGCCTAGACTCCAGATGAAATCACATGTCCACACCTCTCATTTTGCCCAGTCCAGAGGTGTTAAAATCCATACTATTTTTGTTTTGACGACAAGACTCTGCAACAATGCTATGTACACTAACAGCTTTTTTAAAAACTGTGGTTTAAAAATCTGTTCAATAGCAACCCTGTGATTGTGAGTGAGCATTGATCTTGTATCTGACACTTACGTAATTGAGTGTGGTCCACGAATCATCTCTAATTCAATTGGCACTGAGCTTTGGCCAACAGCCGTGGGCCTATTGTGCTGCACTGTGCTGGTGCCTGTGACCTTGTGTCTGCCTCCGTCAGGGTTTGGCATGGAGGCCACGCTGCTGCTGGTGGTTGGATATTCACACAGTAAAGGAGTGGCCATCTCTTTCCTGGTGCTGGCTGTGGGCTTCAGTGGATTTGCTATATCAGGTTAGAAAAAAAACAACTGGTATGTATGCATCGAATAAAAAACAGTCATATGTGTTTATGTTCAGTGTGATTAGTCAGTGTTCGCCAAGACTGAGTTATTATCATATCTCTTTTAAGATAAGTATAAAAAAACATGTTTATCACTGCTAATATACTGTCTAATCCTCATTCATTCAACAGATAGATCAGTGTAGTTGAAAGACACACTCAGTGCTGCTGCTATCAGGCAGGAATCATGTCTGTGCTCCAAATCCTATTTCCTATTGTCCTTGCTCTTTCTTATGGAGTGTTTAATAATTCAGTGCTGGCTGTCTCCAGGGACCTGCCAGCAGGCAGCTTGCAGCCGCGGCCAGTGAGGGCACTCCTCATTCAGGCTGTCAGAGGCAGAGTGGGGGAGGAGGCTGGAGCTTGAATGTGGCTCTCATTTGTGTTTCTTTCATGAGCCTCCATAAATAAAGGAAATATTACACTGTATTATACACAAAGTAGTAAAATCATGCATGTGCTTGTTATAGGTTTCAATGTGAATCACCTGGACATTGCTCCTCGCTATGCCAGTATCCTGATGGGCATATCTAATGGTGTGGGTACACTGTCAGGGATGGTGTGCCCTCTCATTGTTGGCGCTATGACAAAACACAAGGTAAATGATTACATCTGAAATGTTTGGAGTTATTTATAATCTACGTTTAGGCAAAGTGTAGTATAATTACATGTTTGCATAGTATGAGTGTGAAGTGAATTACTTACCAGTTGTTGTTGCCTTCTCTTCCTGCCTTAGACCCGAGAGGAATGGCAGTATGTGTTCCTGATAGCCTCCATGGTGCATTACGGAGGGGTGGTGTTCTACGGGATCTTTGCCTCAGGAGAGAAGCAGCCGTGGGCCGACCCGGAACAGACCAGTGAGGAGAAGTGTGGGTTTATCGATGAAGATGAGCTGGCGGAGGAGACCGGGGACATCACCCAAAACTATGGCGCCTTTGGAGGAGCCGCAGCCAAGTCGTACGGAGCGACCACACAGGTGAACGGAGGCTGGCAGGCCAACTGGGAGAAGACCGAGGAGTATGTCCAGGAGGGAGCACAGGAAGGAGGCTACGGCTATAGCCAGGACGAAGGATACTCCTAGACCAAAACATAAAAGCACACATCACTAGCACAAAAGTAGACTTTTTTCATGAGTGCGTGTACCAATTTAGTTGTACATCAGCAAATGAGAAGTACAAACTACAATCCATTTTTGTGTTCTTTGCACAAACTAAAAAAAAAAAATCACAAAAAATGACCAACTTGATGTAAAATGGCTAAATCATATTAAAAGATATACAAGTTCATGGCAGTCTAATGCATATCCGATTGGCAGTCTGTAAATGTATTAATATGCATATTGATAATAGGTATAATTACTTGGAGTGCAGTTGTGTGTAAATGTGAACCTTTCCACATCATCAGCGTGGCTGTGAAGCCTGGAGGTTAGAAACAGTTCATAAGCGCCAAACCGTATACAAAGATGTGGTTCTTGTGACAGTGCATCGTACAAGCCAGCTAACCCAATGTATAATACTAAATATGTCACTGCACAGCATTGTAAACAGAACCTAGGCACTGTCGTGGTAGATTCTACTGTACTCCTGAATGCACTGGAGTTATGTCCTTTAAATGCACAATATGATATTTTCTTTGACTTATCTCTAGCTTTTGTGTACAGGCCTCTAACATGTACGAGTGTGGAGGTTTGGAGAGTTTGATCATGTCTTGTTTTGAGCTATGTTTAAATGTTAAGAAGAGCATCAAAAGCAAAAAGGAAGTCTCACAAATATCTGCTACATGTTGTAACACAGTACCTCTGCAAGTGAGAGTGATTCTGTCATCTGCATCTATCACATGGTGTTGTGTGGAGAAAAGCCATTCAGTTCACAGTCTAGCTGTTACCAATGCATTGTTTAATAAAATATACATTATATATATATATATATATGAAACAAATATAAAGATAGAAAGCACATAGAACATGAGTTATAGAGATTTATAGATAAATGCTTGTTACTACTCACACACCACCTTATGAGGGGATTGTGCAATTAAAATTTGAGTAACCATACAGTATCAAGAATTCCAGAGAGATTTAATACTTAAGACAGATATCTTTATATCTTGCTTAATTGCTCGCCTACTTGATTTATAAATCAATGTTTTCCAAACAATCTTGTTGGAATTAATAATCACAATTTTACCAGGATTTTAAATTCATCATGGCAGCTTAGCTTCTAACAAAAAAGTGGAGAATCTAAAAGAAAGAATATTAGATATATTGTATATGATTTTATATGCAAACATACTGCAGAAACATGGCTTCAGATTTAAAAAATAAATAAAAATCAAAAAGTATAAAGTGAACATTCCTCAAAAGTATTTGAATGTTTACATTTGTGTGTACTTGTGTATATGTTCATGAACAGGGGATTTCTCTACAGAGACACTGAGCACAAAGGGCAATCACAACAGTGTGCATTTTGGAGAAGAGCTTATTAGAAAGCAGCCGTGGGTTTGTGAAGTCTCATCTTCACAGGTTTGAATCAGATTGTGCACTTAAGGTCTAAAGGGGCCAAATGTCATTTTCACTGTCTGTGCTTTCATTCAGCACTTCACAATGTAAATGTGTGTGTATTTATGCATGAAACTAAGTGAAATGTGTGTCTTTTATGTTTCCTTTCAACACTGTTTTTTTTGCATAATATTTTTGTTGGTCTTTGTCTCAGAAACTGTTACTTATGCTTCAATTTCTTTGCACAATTTACCAAAGGTGTAGAGTACAGCTGGTTTTAACAGAATGTCCAACTAGTGGTCAGTCTGGGGTCCCCACAAGCAGATGACTCCAAACATAACTCAGTGTACAAAGCAATAAACCTAAAGTAACAGTTCGAGTCAAACATCATGAATGATTATTATGTCTTTGAAGCATTTGTTTAAACGTGGTGTTTTGTGTAAAACAAATGTAGAAAAGACACTTGTAAAGATAAAAATATATGTAAAATATATAGTAATAGAGCCCTAGACAAAGATCTCAGACCATGTCTTTGACTTTGCGACAGGGCTGCTCACCAGATGAGAATGATAAAAAGAGCTCCACGTGAAAACGGCTGCTCTTCTTCATGTTCTTGTTTCTGTTTTCCACGCCCCCCTCACACTTCCCCTTACCTCCTCCATCATCATCCCACTTTGGGTTCTACATCTCAAGCTCCTGACTTAACCAAATGTACCCACTATTCCCCTTCACAACCTCAACGCTCACTATCCTCAAGCCGGCCATTGTCCATTTTCAACAATTGTGCAACTTAAAGTAGTTCAAAGTTTCCTGTTTTGTGCCTCTGGAGTTACAGTGTGATTTTATGGCTTCTGTTGCTGTGTAAATTGAGAGGTTTGTTGATGTCAAAATGAAATACTCTATATCCCCTTTTGATAAAAAAAAAAAAAGCAAAAAGAAACTCTTTGTTTGGCTCTTTTGTTGATTCAAGGTTTCAGTAACAGAAGACCAGTGCACATGGAGTGTACAACCTACTTTTACTACAAAAAAGAAAAAAATTCATTAAGTGCAGAGGAAATGCACATTTAATGGCAACCCTCCTTTTCTGTCAGTAAAATCAATAAGGTTAGTTTCCAGGATTGTCCAGGACCTATTGGCTTCTCTAACCTCTTAATAGAGATGAGGGGAGGAGGAGCACTTATTGAGCTATTTGAAGGTGTAATTTAGATTTAGGAGTCAACACCTCATCCTTTGACATCTGGTGTAAAGCACAAAGATTATCAGAGAGATAGTTGAAAATATACAGGGCATAACAATGTGGATTAGGTCAGTCCAATAGATTAAATACACTTATGATAATACTATTCATTGGTATCATTGGTTGTCCATGTCAGATTTGCATCAGGGCATCAGGTAACAAAATAATCAGGTATACAATTAAGTGCACCACCATCATATAATATAGCTCAATAATACATTTCATAGCATTCTGGTAAATAATAATAATAATATTATATGTTAAATGTTTAAATACACATTTTAATACATTTTCACAGTTCTGATCGTGCACTCTCCCCATGTTTTATTTGATTTCACAAAAAGAGGTACACCGTTTTCTGTTTTTGCCCTTCTCTCTGACGTCAAACAGCAGCAGGGCCTGTGAAAGCCAAGGTGACACAGAGCAGAGTTTGATTGATGCCTGACTTGTGGATGTGGTGTTACAAACATGATTTCTGCCCCCTCCTGTCTCTGCGCCTTGTTATTTTGACTCTTGTCTCGGCTCAGCTCATTGCTTTTGTTAATTTGACAGGCTCAAACATGCCCACAGCCCATCCCTAAATGCTATTTTCTCACAGTCAACCAGCCATAACCAGCATCCCAACACAGCGCAACCAAGGGCGGTGACCCATAGCCCTCCCTGTGACCACCACCCTGCCTATTACAATACTATACCTAGCCCCTAGCCGCAGTTTAGCCTGATGACAGTGTATGTAAGAAGAGATGGGATGAGGAACAACATAAAATTTTGATTATGTATAATAAATACATTTTGGGCTCACCATTTTTGATTTACATTATTCAATATTTTTTTAGCACTGCTTTTCGGAAATGTAAGTCACCATCACTACCAATGTTTGTCCAGTACAATCGTAAACACATAAAAAACAAATCTCACAAGATAATGTTTCTCATGTGTGCACAATCTTGAGGCATTTCAGTCTCGCGAGATTTTGTGGCACAAGATCTTGTCCCATGATCCCTGGCAAAGACGTCAGCAGGCCGCTCCTTAAACAGTATTTAATGTGTCTATTTGCATTAGCGGAGACAAATATAGAGTGTGGACGTGCGCATACGTTTGTGGTCTTAGACGGAGGTGTGGGTGTGGGGCAGGTGTGTCACAGCCTGTGGGGAGTGAATGGGGAAAGATGACTATGTCATTAATGACTGAAGGTTGAGCTGCTGGTGCTGTGTTCACTCCCAAAGGACATATGTGGCTCATAAATAAGGTCCTGATTTGCACAAAGCCCCCCATACTCCCTCGCCTCGTACCTCCCTCTCTCCCACCACAATATCAAAAATACATAGATAAAAAAAGCATTAATAAGCAATAAGTGTGTTCAAACTAACTATAGTAACATTGCCAGCCTAGATCTTGTTTTGATCCTTCTTTTTTGCAAAAGATTTCAGTAAGACCAATCTTGACAATTATTAATTAAGAATATTCTGTTACTAAGTTATGCAAATAAAGTATAATGAAGTAGGGCTGAACAATATGTACACAGAGAATAGCAAACATGTTGTGAAATGCATGTTTTTCTCCAATAAGTTTAGCAACTCAAATGTAAATGCCCCTCTTGTGTGGTTTTTCAATGGACAAACAGTGACAATATTGTTTTTGCAGCCTCTCCCTCTCCTCTCTGTGCAGTCACACAGCCCCACACGTGAGCTGTCCATGGTGCTCAGTGAAAAATCTTTGCGAAACACAAGCGTGACAACAGACGCACAAGCACCGCCCAGATGAGGAGACCACTACCTACATCATATTAGAGTTACTCGATTATGGAAACAATATCATACCGCTTCTTTCGAGCAACATTATTTAAAATCGACCAAGATTATTTAAAACAGTAGATTGTGGTCTTGTATTTATATCAGAAAAGTATTTTGGTTTTAAAAGCTTGATTACAAAACATTAGGGGATTTGCTTCAGGTATTCAGGGGGACAGCAAGTTAACATATAATTTAGAGCAAAACTTATTGTTTTGCTTGTTTGTTTTAAAGACATTTAACATTTTTGTGATTTATTGACTGATGTCCTATATCATACCTTGTTATACAGCAGCTCTTCTTCACAGCAGGCTCTGGGTGGACTGTGAGTGGTTAAGGCCAAGCAGCAGGTTCCTCCTCTGGCACAGATGGAGGAGCATGATTGGCTGCACATGCTAGCTCTTAGCACTGTCCACACGGCTGGTATAAATTTAGCACCTCTCCTCACATCCTCACCTCCTCCTCGCATGTAGCAGCATCCCACCTTCTCCACAGGAAGTGCGTCAAACATCGTCGAGGGGGAGCCTCTGGGGCAAGGCAACCTGCAATCAGGAAGT